GATCGAATGTGCCCGAGAAACTTATCAGAAGGGACCCGACAAGAGCGTAAGGCCCTTTATTGAAATAAGAAGTATCCAAAACCCAGTGTGGAGGGCCCCGAAAGATGGAGTGTATCCGAGCAGGTTATAAGATAGCCCCTGATAGGAGCGTAGGACCCTAAGTTGAAACACCAAGACCCAATGTGCAGGGCCCCGAACAATTAACAGATTAACAGGTTGGGCAGGTTCACAGATAGGCAAAAGCTTAGGCCCCCTCCCCCCCCCCCCCCCCAGTCAAATCAGACGTGCCTACTTATCAGATGATACATGACAGGAGCATAGGACCGACATTCAACTACCCAATGTGCGGGGCCCCAAACAATCCATTATGTCCGAGTAGGTCAATAGATGGGCCCCGACATGAGCGTAGGGCTTTAAGCAAGTGACAGAGAATTGGAAGGGGTCTAAATCAATGCAGAGGGTCCATGAGCATATCGCGAGCATGTTGGTAGGTTAATCGAGACCAACGTGAATTGCCCCTCAGCAAACGACGAAACCCGGCCAGATTAACTTATGGGGCCCCGCCTACAGTGTGCAGAGCCCTTCCGGCGAATGGGAAGAGTATGCGGAGCGCCCCTGATTGACAAGAGCGCCCCGGCACGCTAACAGGAAGGGCCCAGCAACAGCGCAGGGCCGTCCGAGCAAATGTAAAAAGAAAATCAAGTGTCACGTGGAAGGCTTTTTGACGACCGGATTCACTATGCAAGTGGGCATATACGTCCTCCAGGAACAGCAAAGGACCTCTGGACGGCGTAATGAGCCGAAATAAGTCTCAATCACCGGCCTGTCAATCCGTCGAAAGACTTGTTCTACTCGTGGGCCCTTCACTTTCGCTTGCGACTGTTCTTGGTCGTATAATAACCTCATTCAAATATATACCGTCATTCCATTGGCCATGCGTCATTCAAGGCCAAGCAAAATATAATTGTCGAGGCGTTCATATCTGGTGTTTGTGAGCACGATCTCCAGGCAAAAAGGTTGTCAATTGGCTTTCATTTGATGTTGTGCAAGGTGCAATGACGTAATCAAACCATGGCGTGTTCAGGAGCATATTTACGGTTAATTAAGCCTACTTATTTCTGGCACGGTGGGTGTGGCTGTGTGCACATAGCACTGCGGAGCACTATCTCCCCACGACGTGAAGCGGTCGTCGGTGAACAACATATATAATATCCTTGTGATCCCTTTCACGACGTTACGGCGGGCGGACCCCGCATTGTGTTGAATCTCAAACTATCCATGCAGTATGGCTTTTCAGCGTCATCTGTACAAGATACAAAACGGAAGATCAAGATAAAAGAATGCGCCGAAAATGCAATAGCAATGATAATCGTGGGAGCAATCCACAGACACCTATGCACATAAAGAGTGAAAATTGCTTATCAGTAGAATTTCCCAAAAGCAAATGCAGTCAGGAAAAGAGCGAGCGGCCCTCGGGCCCTCAGTGCCGCCATCAACGCACGAAACACAGATAGTGTCGGACGCTCACTGACGGCCGGAGGCAGCTGGTTCCACGAGGTGGCAGCACGGTAACGAAGCTCACCCCCCCCCCCCCCCCCCCTCTGTGTGGTCAAAGATTTGCACCTCGGCGGTCCCGCCTCGAATGAACGGATGACCCAGCGAGACACCGCGGATCGAGGGACAAACACGCGACGAACCGTCAGCGGGCTGAGCTGGTTGTGAAGAGGTTTACACACTTTATGGAGGTCCCTCTTTCGTGCAAGCTGCTCTATTTGGCCCCAACCCACGGATGTCAGCGCCCCCTAAAAAACCCCTTGTATGCCGGCCAATAAATTGCAATATTTTTATGGGTGTTTGTTGTATAGTGACCCGTCTTCCTGTGCGCGGCCCTACAAAACTAGTTGTGCTCTATAGGTACGCGCATGGAGCACGTCTATTTTCTCTAGGTAATTTTTCATTTTCTCCAGGTAACTGAGCCAGGCCTGTAGACACGAGCAGGCAGTATGCCCTAGCGCTCGCAAGCACATGTTGGGCCTTTGGCCGCATAGAAGGGTCCTTCTGATTTCATCGCAACAACCAACGATCAATGTAGAATTGTAGAGAGCCCCGGGGCGATGGAAAGTGTTCCGGCCGATGACTATTTGGGTCCCGTCAGCGGTGCCGGCCCTCCGAAAAAGGAAAAAAACAGAATGGACAGCACTTGAGCGATCGAGGTTGCCGCGGCGGGGCAGCAAAGAGGCTCCCATAAACAGTGTAGGGGGCTCAGAGCAAGCAAGAAGAACCTGCGATCAATGTGGTGGGTTTCTGAACGATCGGAAGTACCCCGACAGGTTAACATGTAAGGCCCCGACCGGAGCGCAGGGCCCCCTGAGCACTGAGTATCTTGGTCCGTTAACTTATATGGGCCCAGCAAACAGCACAGCACCTTCCGAGCTATTGGCAAAGCCCCGAGACGAATGTGAAAGGTTCCTGAGCAGCCGAGAGAACCCCGGCAGGTTAACGTATGGGGATCCCAACAACAGCATATAGAGCATTTCGGGCGAATGGGAAGAATCCGCGGAGGTATCCTGGTCAATTTAGACTGCCCCGATGTGGTAGCAGATAATGCCCCCACGGCAGCGAAGGGCCCTAAGAAAGCATGTTAAGAGACCAAGGGTAACGTGGTAGGCTCGTTATTATTATTGTATATTATTATGACCCCATTGACCCAGTTAGTGGAGATGTAGGGACACTGGTAACAGCGTAGGATAGCGTCATGAGCCTCAAAATTTTCGCCTCTGAAATCAGTGAAAAGTTATCTTTGTCTGCTGATGGGCCCTTTACTTTTGATTGCGATTGTTTTTAGTCGCCTTGGGGCCCAAAGGCGTCCTATTCTGTTATGACTCTTGTTAGGAACTGTGCCTGTTCAGACGGGAATGGACCCTTTCGGAGCCTATGGACCTCTTCGGGGCCTAAAGGGGATGACCCCGTTCTCCCCTCTCTGAATCCGCCACTAGTCCTGGCCGTTTAACAACTAGGGCTCCCGACAAGAGCGTAGGGCCACCCAAGTAAACAGGCAATATAGAACACCCAATGTGGAGAGCCCCCGAACCATCGAATGCACCCGAGCAGGTTAGAAGATGGGGCTCCCGACGAGTTCGTAGCGTACTCCAAGCAAATGAGAAGTGCCCAAGACACCATGTGGAAGGCCCCCGAATGGTCTAGGGTGCCCAAGCAGTGCAGCAGATGGGCCTCCGACAAGAGCGTACGGCCTCTGCCAGTGAACGGAAATGGGTCACTGGCAGAGCTATGAACAATGAGCGATGAGCGATGAGCCTTAGACCAACCTACAGGGCCCATGAACATATCGCGAGTGCGTCAATGTTTAACCACTACCAATGTGAAGGACTCCTGAGCAACCGAGAGCACCCCGGCAGGTTGAAATATAGTGCATAGAGCTTCTCGAGCCCAAAGGGACTTTAACCCGGGCTACAGCGTATAGAGCCTTTCTGGCAACTGAGAAGAATCTGTGGAGGTTCCCTGCTGGACAAGGATACCCCAGCATGCAAGTGGATAGAGCTCTGACGGCAGGGTAGGAGCCCTCCGAGCAAACATCAATAAATCAAAGGCAACGTGGAAGGCTCCTTAGCAATCGGATTGCCCCTGCAAGTGGACATATAGGCCCCCGGCGACAGTGCAGAGCCTCTGGAAAGCATAATGAGCCTTAAGATTTCCCAATCATTACTATATAAATCAGCGAAATCTTATTTTTGTCTGCTCGTGGGCCTTTCACTATTGCTTGCGTTTCTTCTTGGTCACCTGGAGGCCCAAATACGTCCAATTTTGTTGTGTTTTGTGTAAAAATTATGTCTGTTCGGGCCGGCTGTGAGCCCTTTCGGAGCCTTTGGGATCACTCGGGTCCGGGAGGGATGGCCCCGTCCCCCCCCCCCCCCATCTGGATCTGCTACTGGTCTTCCAGTACACATGTACACATCACAACCTAAATTGCTCTGCTCGGAAGTTATAGGACTCTATATTTATAGGATCGAACTGGGATCGTCTTATTACGAATTCATTGTCACACCATTGAGCTTACTGGGCTCTCACACACATGTGCACTTGCGTTACTGAAAGCCAAGCACCACCTAGTCCTTCCAAGTGCATAATAAGATCCGATGACGGATGGAGAATACAATGTTCAGAATATCGTATAAATGCTAGAATAAAGGTCAGACGGTCCGGAACGATCAATAATTGCATTCGTAATAGCAATGTCTCGCGCCGGATTCATTTCATAACATGAGGTAATGGCTTGGTTTCATCTGGAAATGATAGCATAGTAGCACCAAAATTCCCTTTTAAATCTGCTCAGTTTACTCAGTCTTGTACGTAGTGTTATTGAAAAGCTCCTTTTACATTCCGGTGCGCCGCTGTCTGAGCTGCGGTTGTCCACCGTCTCCGACAGCGCCGATGACTTCATATCATTCTGTGGGAAAGAATGACGTCCATAGAAAGGCTAAAAACAGACCATGTCGCTAGTTTATATGACGCAAGAAAGCTCTCTAAAAAACCTGCTCGCTGTATCCATCCATCCGCAGTAAAACGATTTTTCAAAACGTCATGCCTTCTCAAATGAAGTTGCATGAAGCTTTTTGCCGCTCTTCTACGGCAAGTGAAGCTCCACTTTCAGAGCCAGCATTCTGTTTCCTAATGTATTCACATTTATTATGATGTTTCGCGTAAATTTAGCTGTGTACAATGCGTCAAATAACAATGTTTTCAAAAATAATTCAAAGGTTCCCAAAAATGAGGCTGTCACTCGCCATCATTGGCAATCTCACTCTCAAAAGTGAGGGTGTCATGCCTGCTTTTTCGATCCCCCGTTCTTACGCTTATGTTTGTGGCCGTCTACCATTCGTTTCTGGCACCGAAATGAAACGCTTCATAAAACCTGAATGGCGTTTCCCATTTTGGTAACATCGTGTCTTCTGTTCGTCAAGTTCGGCAACAGCGCCGTTAATGTCGACAAGTCGTCGGGGCGGCACGGTGGACCTGTCCCGGAGATCGTCAATTTTCTGCCTGTAATAGGTCTCACAAACGTTCTAAATGTGTCTTATCCACTAGATTAGAACTTTTGACCACTATAGCAGTCCATCTGAGTGATCTATCTTTGCGGAGAGCACGGTTTTGTTGGTTACAATTCGACTTCGAATTGCCACTGGCGCTGCGGTTTTGCCGCAGTTCTGGCACAGTTTTCGTGGAGGTTTCCGTGGCCGGACTGGGACGAACTGTCGGCTGGGCTGCGGTTGGTTTGTGGGCCGGTGTGGAGGTTTGACAGTGCGACGCCCCGCCGGAATGTGGTGCCTGGATGTTCAGTTTTCTGTTGGTTGTTCTCTCACTAAAAGCCCTTGCCTTGTGTCATGCATAAGCTTACTAAGTACTTATTGATGTCAAAGTTTTAAGAGCATCATCCTAGGTATTGCTTGCACCACCAATTTTGCCCACCCTACTTCAGTTTGAGCCTTCAACATATCAACATAATATGTAGCAAGAGTCATATAATTTCAAGACAATGACAATTATAGTTTTCCTCATTGATACATCTGCATCAATGAATCAGCAAGCCTTCTCTGGTGGTCACCCAACCCTGCTGGATGTAGCAAAGGGAGCTGTGGAGACCTTTGTCAAGGTAAGTTTTTCATTGAGAGCATCAGGTACCTGTCATTCCTGACAGCTACCCACTGGCAGGATGCAAGCACAGCTGGTGGTCATTTGGGTGCAGACAACAGATGCTCCTTTTTATCACTGGTAGGCATCTGAATAAATGGGCCCAAGTGACAATTTTGGAGAAGTTTTGCTGGTGTCCATGCTCTCCTCTGTGTGTAGTAACAGGATGCATGGACACTGCATGAGGTCAATGTATGTACCAAATGCATATTTTATTTTTTTCTTTAGGTTGTGCTTGAAATCACAAAACTATTTGAAGCTGTGTGTTGTATAATAAATCATGAATTTGTTTGGATGATGTTAGAAAAAGATCCAGGGACAATTTGGCTGCAATTCAACATTTTTGTTTTGAGACTCATGTTATGCACAATAATTTTTGTTGGAAATCTTAGAAACCCTTTCACGTGGGCGTGCAGTCAAACCGAAACTCATTAGATATTTTTACATACTCTTGTGTAATTTTTGGGACTGAGAATTGAAAATTGGGGATAGAACCATCAAGTTAGCAATAATGATGCAAAAAGTGCTGAGAATTTCCCAGCTGTAAAATGCAACAAGCAAAGAATGCCAACAGTGTCAGCCTGTTTATCACAATTTCACAGTGGTCCAAACCTGTCATAAAATGTATGGGAGTGGAACTCATTGATGATATTATGTTACCTACACATTTTTGGTATTGATGACATGGTTGGCAATTTTTGAACTTGTGTTGCATTTTTAAAGTTGATTGATATTTTTTTGTAGAGATTAACCACAGCCACCAGCCACAGTCCATCTCAGTCAAGAGCAAAAGCGAGAGTATGAAGCGACTGAAACCCATGCTACCACTGGTGGGCAGATTGGAGGATGGGTGCTCTGATGGCTAAGGTACTGGGATGGATGTATCAAAATAATTTATGTTGGACAATTTTCTCAAAATTGTTTAAACAAGAGTGACAGATTGCTTTCAGTTTTACAGGACAGGAACTCTACCACAAAATATAGTTTTCAGAGAAATGGACAGAAAGATTGGGTATCATTTATCTGCTGAAACATATCATCTTTGTTACATGCTTGGTCTCAGTATGACAATATTGCTGCACAGTTTGAGTTTAACATGATCCATAAGGATTGCTTGTACACAGTCATGGTGTCAGCATTATTACAGTGCTGTGGGGCATAGAGTCCTGAATGTCTCATGATGCAGGGATTGAATAAGTGGCAATCTTTGGGTTCTTAAGTAATAGGCAATAAAACCTCACACTTTTGTGAGCCAAACCTTGTTCTTGTCCTAAACCAATGAAGCTGGTCAACCTCCTTTGAAGGTCCCACTGATATGAGTGAGACCTCCAACACTTCATGAATGACCTGACTGTTATCAGGATAAGCATTTGTTTTGAACTGCTATGGCCATCTGGAAGATCACTCAGTGCAATTCACAGCCCTTCCCTTTTTAAGACCAAAACTCCTGTTTTTACTACATGCCACAAATATGTTCAGAATGTTTTGGTGGGACCATTTTGGTCAAGGTTGCCAAAGCATCCATGCCATTGTAATGCCATTCAAATCTTTTCATTTGATTAGCCATGTGGTGATCAAGGCCAATTGGTTATAACTGTAGAGTTGTTCATATCTGGTATTTATATGCATTATATCCAGATGTAATGGCTGTCAACAGGCTCTCAATAAATGTTTTGCAGGGTGCAATGATGTTATTAAAAACTGACAGTGAAGAGCATATATATAGAAAACATACAAACAGATGAATTGTGTTGTCTCAAGCAGTTTTTTCCACTTCAGTATACCCCAAATATATAGTGTCACATTGTAATATATCACAAATAGTTTAATCACAACTACTTATAAATCAATATCACAGGTACATATCAATGAGACTACTTCATCATGTCAGATGCTTGCTTCAACATCTTCAGTTTTGGAACATTCCTTTTAGCTGTCTAGAAAAGTGTCAAGATCATGCCACTGTGGCCCATGGCTCCTATTTCACTAAAGTCTTTCTTGCATATCACACTTCCATATCTTCTTAGGAAGTTCACTGTAATGCTAAGTTATGCAGTCCACCTGATGTTCCTAAGGCTTCATTCGCTCTAGTAATTGATGGTCACACAGGGCCAATAATTTATATTCCTTGTGCATACTGTTAGGGGAAGGTGATGGTGTGCAAACTAGTAATATCATGGAGCTGTTACTAAACATAAGTATGACCATCTATCAGTAGGGACTAATAGAAACCAGTGCTTTCAGTGCAGCATGATGGACAACAATTGTTTTAAAAAAAATTAAGAGGTTAATGTATGCAGTGTTTTTTGTTTGTGTGTTTCTGTTGTTAGTTCAGAAGTAATCTTTGTTCAAAATTGGGTTGCTGTTTAATGTGACAAAATTGATCAATGTCAAGTAACTTGAACTTTCAGTGACAGTTATCAGAGCACTGATGCCCCTTCAAGTATTGCCTGTTTTGGTTGGTCATTGTTTGTAGTGGACTGGCTGCATACCAGTGGTTGTCACAGCCCAATCTCAGGCCTGGGTTGTATTTGTAAGCTGCATTTGAGACCAGCAGTGACCCTCACTGGCCTCGTCATTATGGCCATCTTCCACATTTAAAACTTAAATGTTTGCCTTTCTGCTGTGTCCCTAATGTTTAACCTGCAAGGTTAGGTAAAATGAAGTCAAACTATGTTTTTGCCGGATCTGCGAGGCTTGCACGTATTCAAAGAGGAAAGCTTACAAAACAAAGCGTTCCACCACTTGCTTCAACGGGCTAATGTGAGGTCATATCAGTGTTGCCCATTGATTTCCTGTGGATCGACCTTGGGAGGCACGCACCTATCTGTATGGTCGTTACGTACGACGGAGACATTTATACGTCCTTCGTCCTTGGGAAGCCCTTCAGTTACGGTCGTTTTGTATAGCCACGATACCATGCGTCATGCTTCGTGGACTAACTTTTCTTCATGTGGTTTTGAAGACTTGGTCAGACATGACATTGGCCTTGACACGCGCTCGGGTGGGGGATCAAATTGACCCCCGAAGGTTTTTCGGAATGGTTTCCGAACGGCGCAGCGTAGTCGCACCAAATTCTGCATAGTTATAGACATTTGAATATCGGATCGTCTGGGATCGAAAATTTAGATGTACCTTGTAAGGTCGCTGACCTATGGCAGGTCAAATTGAGGCCACGGTTTCAGCGAAGGCAATTTCTAGGGAATCGTTAAATCTGATCCAAGACGGAGTGTTAGACGAAGCCATACAACTCTGAGTTACTGTCTAAGGCAATACAACGATTGAATGAACAAATTGCATTGACCTAGGGTCAGGTATAAAGGTCAGACCGAGGTCAAAACCAACCTGTTTTACTACTCTAGCGCTTGCTGTATGGGGTAGTTCTTGGTACTCATTTCGAATTTTTTGAACCCTTATTAGCAGGAACCGCATAATACACCTTCTATAGACTTCTTATAGGTCAGAATAGATCACTGGCATAGAATGACCCAGACTAACATTTTGTTTTTAGGAACATACTGCCTAGCGTAATATTTTTGCTTATTCAAATGCAAAACTTAAAGCGGTCTTGTATGATTTTGGTCACCATGACCTTCAAAAGGTCAGAGAGGTCGCTGGCCTTAGATGAGCATCTGACCTTTTGCTTAGAACAGTTATCTAGGTTCTAAGGACCCTTTGGAGACCAACCTGGAATTTGACCTTTTTGACCTTACTTGACCCCAAGGTCATGACCAAGGAACTCCAAACCTTCCGAGCGAAGGGTATCCAACCGTCCACCCGGGCGCATGTTAACTTGCCCATGTATCAGAATTCACACACCTCAATCATTTGGGTTCGTGACGAGCCTTATTTGCGTACTTTGTTTTATATTTTTAATGTCTACTGTTTTATTTCTTGAAATTCAGTGGAATGTTATGTATAATTTACTCTAGCAGCTAATCTGGGCACCGTTAGAGGCACGTCACTTGTCATGCAATCCGCGGTCTTTGTAAGCATTAGCGACGGAAACTAGGTGCTTTTTCAATTTTTGTCGAAGATATCGAATGCCTACTTATTCAAGAGTAGAATGTTACACACGTGCCCACAAGTATAATAGCAAAGTACGGGCCGCCGGACTTTATAAATCGGAGGGCGAGTTGCGTATCCCACTTAGTCAACGTTGTAATGTTATAGCGGTATGTCGTATAAGAGTTGTGCAATTTGTTCCGAATGAATTCAACGATATTTGACCACCCTGTCTTTAGCGTCGTAATTGCGTGATTCCAGCTATGCTGGTACCATGTTGCAACAGCGTTTGGTTCCCCTTCAAGTACTTTCCAATATATATATATATATATATATATATATATATATATATATACGCATATATATATATATATATATATATATATATATATATATATATATATATATATATAGGTATGTATATATATATAGTTTTGTTTGGACTAGAGCAGTTTTGACCGATAGTGACCACTGCCGCGCTGTTGTGTGAAGAAAAATGAAGGGTGGTGGCGCCAGACTGTATGCACGCGGGAGTCGTCCGCTATTAGGACTTATTGAGCACATCAACCGCGCAGCTTATTGCTCCGCGTAAACGGTGCTAGTGGTGTTTGATTTTGTGTGTCTCGTACTGCCACACTACAATGCCGAGACTGTATTCTGGACGTAGGAATTGGTACTGCAGCACTGATTCGTCAACACTGTCGAACAAACTCTGCGCCGCTGTGCATGACGCCGGCGGTCACTGCTTGCGTCATTATACCCCCTGCCGCCGTCGTATAAGCTGCTACAATTGGCTTATTCATGGCTGTTCCTGTTACAACCGCTGTGCATGTTACAGTGCAATACCAGATGTGCTCAATAGATGGAGCTCAGTGCGAGCGTGGGGCGCCGAGGTCTTTTGCTGTTTTTACGTTCTTTTGGATTTTTATGTCCATGCGTCTTCTCATCTGTAATTGTGTTTCCATCGACACAGTCTAATTTGTGTCTAACACGGTGATGCGTTTCGATTCCAGATCAGACAGAGATCACCAGAAAGCAAGGGTGACAGGTACATGCTGCTGACCTTCGAAGACCACCCATATCATATAAAGGTACGAACGAGCGACAGGCGAGCGGGCTGCCTGAGCTTACCACCCATATCATATAAAGGTACGAACGGGCGACAGGCGAGCGGGCTGCCTGAGCTTACCACCCATATCATATAAAGGTACGAACGGGCGACAGGCGAGCGGGCTGCCTGAGCTTACCACCCATATCATATAACGGTACGAACGGGTGACAGGCGAGCGGGCTGCCTGAGCTTACCACCCATATCATATGAAGGTACGAACGGGCGACAGGCGAGCGGGCTGCTTGAGCTTACCACCCATATCATATAAAGGTACGAACGGGCGACAGGCGAGCGGGCTTCCTGAGCCTACCACCCATATCATATAAAGGTACGAACGGACGACAGGCGAGCGGGTTGCCTGAGCTTGCATCCCGCCAACTGGAGGAGTCACGCCACATTTGCCAGCCTCTAGATAGTGGCCGAGGTGACACTGCACTCCGCTGCTTATGGTCTGTTCACACAGGCGTTTTTTTAGCGCGCTGGTCACGCGTGCATAGCCGCAGGCTATAATCCGCGAATTCGTCTTCTCCATACTTTCGCGGATTACTTCATATTTTTCGGCAACTGCCGCGCACAGGGTACGCGCTCTTCTCCCACCTTTGGCCATCCCATGTTTTTCGTGTGTTTCATCTATTGTCAGATCAGACGCGTGCCATTTGATCAGTACGACCTGATGTCGGAATCCTTTTGAATGGTCTAGAAGTTCGATTTAAGTTATCAATTATTGTTGCCGTTGATACGTGCCAGTCCATTTAGCTCATGAACGTTACCATTGAGACATGCCAGTCAGTCGGTTCATGAACTTCACCGCTGGTGCATGTCTGTGGGTTTGGCTCACGTGATTATCTGGTAACCAACTCGAAGTAACTCAGTTAACTGGTGAATGCCTTACGAACATGATTTGATACGCTGACCTTGTTTGACCTTTTCAAACGTCAAGGCCATACTAATGTATACACATTTTGCACATCCAGACCAGCTACACACAAGAATCTGCGCGTGTACCCGGGTGCGGGAATTAGACCGACATCCAACCTCTGATAGCAGATAACAGTGCAAATTTGGAGGGCATGGTATGCCAAGTCGTTGGAGAGCGGACTCCAACGTAGGAACAGGTTAACGTTGGGTGTATGGCATGAATGGAAAGAATTGAGTGCGTATCCCCGACGCGGATGGTGAGGCCGCAGCTACAGCGAATGCCACTCGAGGTTCGAGTTGGACTCACCAATTGTTGTCACCTTGAGCGACATGGCTCGACCCGGACCGGGCACGTCGCCCTCCATAAACTTTATTGCAGCGATCAGCTATATTTGTTATACAGCTTTCACAAGCAAGAAGTGACACCTTTTAACTCGCGCCGGGGTGATCGGTTGAATACGATGCGCTGGGATGGGAATGGGGGTCAGTTTAATCCACGTGAGATAACACAATTTAAAGAGGCTCGATGCACCCAAGTCCCTGGGCAAATATGACATTAACAAGGTCAAAATGACTCATCGAGATCTGAGAAATAATATGATCGCGAGAGAAACTCATCGAGATCATTTTATAGTTGACCTTGAACCCATTTGTAGCGAATTCTGGGTATCGAGGTCATGATTTCATGGTTGAATTAGGTCAAACAAGTATAAATTAGCGATCGGTGTTCTTTGGCTTCACGCAGCTGGCTGTTGTTTAGATGATTTGTGTGTGCAAAACGTCACTCGGGGTCACATCAGGTCATTGATTTTGTGGCCTTTGGAAGATTTGATTTTACGTGATTGTTGGAAGATGGAAACGTCCAAAGCATCTCGATATCATATGGAGAAGTGAATTCGAAATCAGTGTTCATTTCTATTGTAGGAGGCATGCTCCTCAGAGGAAAAGGTTTGTGGAGGGTCGGGTTCAGTAATCGTACCCTATCCGCATGAAGTGAAAATAAGAAACCTGTGATGGCTTTGTAGTGAAGGGTTTTGAAATCAACGTAAAAAGCTACCTCATTCAGCAGTTTTCCAGTAAACGGTTGTGTTGACCTAGATCTGACCATATCTTTACATCTAACTTTGCATCTGATACAAAGTTAATGGAATGCGTTGTAATTATACATAATTTTGTTTAGCTGTCTAAAATCGCCCCAAAGTTGTACATAGGACGTATTATAAAACTCCGTCGTCGCATCAGCGTGCAGGATTCCATAATAATTGCTTTCGCTGGCAACCATGGTCTGATTTTGACCCACAGATGATAAACCTTGAGGTGTATTTATTTTGTACACCAAAAGATCGGCTATGCTTTCAGTTGTATCAAGTTTGGCAGTGCTACGCCTTTCCGTTGAGAAGGCGCTTTGGAAAAAAAAAACTGTTGGAGTGTCCACATCCGAGCGCTTTTGGGGGTTATGCATAACCTTGACATGCCCTTGCCAGTTGTGGTTTTTCTACTCCGTTACAGTCCGTGCAAAAGATTGTTTACACATTTGCTCAACATGGAAAGTGTCAAATTTTGAACGCAGAAAAGGCTGGAAGTTTGTTTTGGATCCAGGCCCAGATTTCGCTGACCCACTGCAGCTTCGGTATGGAGACATCCCAGCGGGGAAGAGAGCGGGCGGCTGTATTGGCGAAAGTATTGAGTAATACGTGCATCTCACTGGACGCTCTCGTGCGAAAACCTTCGATTTCCCCGTGTGTGTGCGTGTTTTTTTCTTGGGGGGGGGGGGGGGAGACAAATATGTGTACTGTATTTCGGCGACCACAGCAGATAAGCTTCGGCCCCCATACAGGGGTCGGGTTCGGATCCCAGTTATGGTATGGGCCCCGAGCTCCAATATGACCACTCTAGTCGCTGGTGTTCCATACAAGAGTGGCACGACGACGTGCGTCGCGTAGTCTGCTGGCAGAAAGAAGAAAAATGTATACTAAATAAGACAATAGTATTAGCATTTTTCCTTGGAGGAAAAACCAGGAGAATGGAGATATAGTTGGCTTGATATTTCGGCAACATACCTTGAGATATTGTCAGTTTATAATGTTTTCTTTAATTACCCGTGCATCCCGTAACTGGCTGGATGGCCTAAAGTACTTTTGACAGTTCGTCGAGGCCGCCAGTTCATGTGAAAGTGTTCGTGATGAGCTCGAGATTTGATGCCAACGTTACCTTTCCTTTACAAGCCACATGTCTTCCAAATTGTTGCCATGAAGGACCTATCCATAATTGCAAAACATTTCCCTTTAAAACTTGTGTTTTGCCTGTGCTATGCAAGCCAGTGCACGTGATGCTTTGCTTTGAACCGCTTCCTGTACGGACTTCCTGTTTGTGAATCTAGTTCCCAGAAACCTGCTCTGAATCACGTACGCATTAACTTGTGTTGGCTCTGCATCGTCTCAGGCACCATGTTTGTCTCGGCTGTGACACATGGCACCGGAGCGAACTAATTGTAAAATACACGAAGCCCACAATATTGATTTAATACCCTGATGTCCATCATTGTCGTGGCATAGACCACGACGCACTAAAATTTTCGCTACCGCCTTATGGGAGAACCACGATGGTAAAATAATACGTGGGCCATAACATCGCATTGCTGTACTGATATGGCCAGTACAACTGGCCGTATTATAGTCCCTACTTACTATGACCCAGACGTTTTGGCCAGCCCTATATAGAGCCATACCAGTACTCCTCGTGCCATGAATACAGCGATGACCATACCGAGTTGACAGGTCTCTTTTATAGTGTGCGCCGTATTGCGGTTATATCGTGCATTTGTGTCGAATAACTGCTTGTTCTTTCGTTGACACTGGAGCGCCAACTTTCGCCATCTTACGCCCATAACCCCCGCTCTTCCGCTCCGCAGGCCGGCTGGAAGGAGAATCTGCAAACATTCACCCAGGAGCTCAAGAACTTGCAGGCTTTCGGCATGACTCACATGGGCATGGCCATCAAGAATACGTTCGACGTTCTGAACCTGAACCGGATGCAGTCCGGTACGTCGGGGTGGGGAAGGGGCGGTGATAACGTGCACCTCCGGCAGCCATCCACGCCGTTCGGCCGTGCGCACGGACGCGATGGTGGCCACTCTGGAGATAAGGCCAAACCCCATGCCAAAGACTCATCAAATTACATGCATCTCTGCTTCCTTTGTAAGGCGCTGCCGGCCAGTTCCCAAGTCAGCACTGATTCGCTGGCGCAAAGCGATAGGAACACGTAAATAGTAGAAGCTTGTCAATGCAAATGATAACCACCGTGGATTGCCAAAGCCGGCTAGCTAGCGGGATCCGTGGCAGCCAGCGCGCCCGTAGTCTGCCGACCCAGAGGCGCTGCGCCGCGGAGACGCGTGGTCTGCCGACCCAGAGGGAGACGCGTGATCTGCCGACCCAGGGGCGCTGCGCCGCGGAGACGCACGATCCGCCGACCCAGATGGAGACGCGTGATCTGCCGACCCAGGGGCGCTGCGCCGCGGAGACGCATGATCTGCCGACCCAGAGGGAGACGCGTGATCTGCCGACCCAGGGGCGCTGCGCCGCGGAGACGCACGATCCGCCGACCCAGAGGGAGACGCGTGATCTGCCGACCCAGGGGCGCTGCGCCGCGGAGACGCACGATCCGCCGACCCAGAGGGAGACGCGTGATCTGCCGACCCAGAGAGGAGACGCGTGATCTGCCGACCCAGGGGCGCTGCGCCGCGGAGACGCACGATCTGCCGACCCAGAGAGGAGACGCGTGATCTGCCGACCCAGGGGCGCTGCGCCGCGGAGACGCACGATCCGCCGACCCAGAGGGAGACGCGTGATCTGCCGACCCAGAGGGAGATGCATGGTCTGCCGACCCAGAGGGAGACGCATGGTCTGCCGACCTAGAGAGGAGACGCGTGATCTGCCGACTCAGAGGCGCTGCGCCGCGGAGACGCACGATCTGCCGACCCAGAGAGGAGACGCGTGATCTGCCGACCCAGAGGGAGACGCGTGATCTGCCGACCCAGAGGGAGACGCGTGATCTGCCGACCCAGAGGGAGACGCATGGTCTGCTGACCCAGAGGCGCTGCGCTGCGGGAACGCACGATCCGCCGACCTAGAGAGGAGACGCGTGATCTGCCGACCCAGGGGCGCTGCGCCGCGGAGACGCACGATCCGCCGACCCAGAGAGGAGACGCGTGATCTGCCGACCCAGAGGGAGACGCGTGATCTGCCGACCCAGAGGGAGACGCGTGGTCTGCCAACCCAGAGACGAGCTTCCGTGTTCTGCTGCCAGGGATCGACATGTACGGCCAGGGGCGCTGTCCGTTCTTCCTGGAGCCGTCCATCATCGTGTGCATCACGGACGGCGGACGGCTCACCGGACAGAACGTGTCCATCATGGACGAGGTGAGCTCACTGGCACGGGCCAAAACAGCCGGTCGTGAGTTAGTTTTGGCGTGGAATAACCTCCATGCAGCATGTTCCGATTAATCAAGCTGTTTCACACGTGCACGCCAGTCGATAAGGCGCCCATTGTGCGCAATACCGGGTTCATGTTTGCCGCATCATCTTGTCGCCGTAGTCCGGTGTCTGGGCGTTGATCGCCGGATGCACGGACGCCTGAGCATGGCAGGGGTGTCCGTGCGGCGCTGACCGGCGGGCCGCGCCAACAGCTCAAGATCCCGCGTGACGCGCGCATCCCGGGTACGGAGCTGACCAAGGACGTGTACCGCTGGGACCAGCGGCTGTTCAGTCTGGTGCTGCGCCTGAGCGGCACGCCGCCGCACGAGCGCGACGGCACCGGCCTGGTGGACAGCGACACCAGCGGCATCGGCAAGCTGTGCGACGCTACCGGAGGTGCGACCCGACCCTGAATGTGACCTGACCATACCCGACCCCGACCCCGACCCCGACCCCGATCCCGATCCTGATCCTGATCCCGATCACGATCCCGATCCCGATCCCGATCACGATCCCGATCCCGATCCCGATTTCGATCCCGACCCCGACCCCGACTCCGACCCCGACCCCGACCCCGACCCCGACCCCGACCCCGACCCCGACCCCGACCCCGACCCCGAACCCGACCCCGACTCCGACTCCGACCCCGACCCCGACTCCGACCCCGACCCCGACCCCGACTCCGACCCGACCCCGACTCCGACCCCGACCCCGCCGACCCCGACCCCGACCTCGACCCCTACCCCTACCCCTACCCCGACTCCGACCCGACCCTGACCCTGACCCCGACCCCGACCCCACCCCGACCCTGACCTCGACCCTGACTCTGACGCCGACCCCAACCGCAACGCCGGCCACGACCCCCGACCCACCAGTGACGCTCGCTGAGCCGCGCAGGCCGATGTCGGCGGCCGCGCAGGCTCCCCGTGCTCCCTTCATGTGGTGGGGCTCGGGTATGTCATGACTGTCAGCAAGTTCACGTTTAGAGATGCTCTGCTGCAGGCGTTTATGTGTCGCACACCTGTTGTGTTCTTCACCTCGTTGCGTGTTAAGTCAAACTTCCTCGGATGGTCGAGAAGCCGCTGTCTGTCTGAGGTGTGGTCTGCGGTTTGTCCGCGGTCTGAGGGCGCTGCTCCCGTCGCCAGGCCGGTCGTACGCCATCACCTCGCACCGGATGCTGATGCAGTGTGTGGAGTCGCTGGTGCAAAAGATCCAGAGCGGGGTGGTGATCAACTTCGAGAAGATGGGACCGGACCCGCCGCCGGTGGCCGCCGATCCCGGTACGGACGCCGCGGGCGGAGACCGGCCGGGGGGAGGCGGCGGTGGGGAGAGGGCACTGGGCCGTCACGAAGGGCTTCGGCCGGGGCGAGGCAGCGGCGGGGAGAGGACACTGGGCCGTCACACAGGGCACCGGCCGGGGCGAGGCGGCGGCGGGAGGCGGACACTGGACCGCCACACAAGGCACCGGCTCACGCTCGGAACGAAACATAAAGTACTTTGGGATGTGTGATTCATAGACTTAATGGCAAAGTTGTCTTGCAAGCTGGATGTTGTCGAGAGCCTGGTTGCCTCCTCACCCCACCTTTCGTGGCTGATGGCCAGTAGGTGATCACCAGAGTAGCTATGCAGCGGCTGTAGCGAGCTGGTTGCCATAACGGCGAGCGGTCACGGCCCGATCGCTCCACGCCACGCCGCGTCGCTGCGGAATTACGATACAGCCGTGTCTCCTGCCAGGAGGCGCCGACACAGACAGCGAGGGCGGCAAGGAGAACGTCATCAACTTCAGCAACGACCAGGCGTCGTCGCGGCCGGCCTCGCCGCTGCCGCTGTCCAGCCAGTCGTGGCACAGCTGCCGCAAGCTCATCTACGTGCCGCGCTCGGCGCAGAAGGGCTTCCCGCTGGGCCACTGGCCCATCCCCGAGGCGTTCTGGCCCGAAGTCAGCTCGCCCACACTGGTGAGAGGCGCCCGGCTGCCGCCGGGGCCGGCGCTGGGAAGTGGGTCCCCGTCGTGTATCCGTGGCCGAGGTCGGCCTGGTGGCTCGCTGTTGCCGGAGAGCTGAGTCGTAGGCTGCGGACTTTAGATAGATGTCGACGCAGTCACGGCGGCGCGGCTCGCTCACATTGTTTGTGTGTAAACGATTGTGGTGAAAACCGCCTATGTAACTGGACCAACGCGGCCTGTGGCGCCACTGCCGTGACCTCACCGTGCTGTACATGACGTTGCTCTCGTGGCGACTGTGCGGCGCCTGGCGCGGCGCCGGCTGACGGTGGACCTGTCTGTGCGTGCGGCAGCCGTCCCGCTCGGCCCACCCGGTCGTCAAGTTCACCTGCACCAGCCGCGAGCCCATGGTCATCGAGAACCTGCCGTTCGACAAGTACGAGCTGGAGCCGAGCCCGCTGACGCAGTTCATCCTGTCGCGGAAGCAGCCAGCCACCTGCTGGCAGGTCAGCACGCCGCCGCCGCCGCCGCCGCCGCCGCCGGTCGGCATGGACGCTCGTGACAGCAGCCTCGTGATTCAATTGTGGTGATGGCTAGTTGCTGTGCTGCAGACATGTTGTTATCGCTAAAACACTGGGTTGCGTGTGATTATATATATATATATATATATATATATATATATATATATATAACAAAACTGGAAGACATATAAATCTGCCAGTTTGTGGGGGGGGGGGGGGGGGGGAGGGCCAAGCGGGTGAATGGTGTTTTGTACCCCAGTCCGTCATGCGGCGCACGTGGCGCCGCTGGCGTCAGCTGACCGTCGTCGCTCGCGCCGCCAGGGTGTACATCGCCAACAGCTCCAAGACCGGGCGACTCGGGCCTGCCGTTTGGTTACCTGAAGGCGAAGTACCACACTGACTTGTGTGAACCTGTTCGTCATGCCGTACAACTACCCGGTGCTGCTGCCGCTGCTGGACGAGCTGTTCAAGGTGCACCGGCTGAAGCCCACCAAGGAGTGGAAGGCCCGCTTCGACAACTACCTGCGCACCATGCCGGCCTATTATGCTCAGGTAATGGGTCCGTCGGGATGTGTCGCCTGCTAGGTCCGTCTTCGCCGCTCTGGCGTGGCTTAGTTTCTTTTTATCCTTGAGGCGAGTCAAACAGCGTTATGTTTGGACGTAGTTCAGATTCCTACAAAATAATTGGGTCGCGGGTGTGTGCAGGTCATGACATCAAGATGGCATTGACGGCAGATGATTTTCTCGTTTCTCATGGTCGGTGGGGGCGGGAAATCAGTGCGCTTTCGTGCCAGTCCCATTTTGCCGGGGGGAGCGGAACTCAACTGCGTGGCGTCCGTTCAATATCTGAGGGTGATTCTTTCAGCCCATGCGGTCACACAGCGCTTGGGAACGATGCCGCTGTGTTGATATGACGAGCGGTACGAGCGGAGTGGGATGGGCCCGACAAGCTCCGTGTCGTCACCTGGCCGAGCCCCCTCCCCGGCGGAGCCCTTCCCCGGCCGAGCCCCCGCCCCGGCCGAGCCCCCGCCCCGGCATCCGCCCTTCAGCGACACGTCCACGTGGTGCCGTTTCCAGCCGCTGCGGCAGGCGCTGAAGCGCATGGGCGCGCCCAACCTGGTACCTCGACAACCTGGACAACGGCCTCCTCCGTCAACGTCATCAACCACCTGAAGCGGCTCAAGAACCAGGCCAAGATGGAGTACGACCGGCTGTGCAGCGAGGTGTCGGCGCGTCTGCCGGCTCCGACCAGGTCGGCATCAAGGTCACTAGCCGCAATTCCACCCGACGAGAAGCCACCAGCAACCCGGCGCTCAGCGGTGCGTGGACCGACGGGGCGGCGGCCGGCCGCCCGCGGCCTAGCGCTGGCCGTCGGCACTGGTGCCACGCGGCAGGAACGCTTTGGCACCAGTGCCACGGCGTTCCTGCTGCGCACCGAAACGTGTGCCATGTCGAGTGGGGAAAAGTATGGGCGGTTGTGCTTTGCGCGTTCCTTGGATCGTAAGGGTGTTGAAATTTGTGCGATCGTGGCATTTCCTGTCGGTTGAAAGTAGTTGATTCCCTGTAAAAGCTTGGTAGCGGGGACGTCAGGATCCTTCGGCTGAACATTGGCCATGGCTGGTTATTAGGGTTTATTTTCTCATCGGCGTATGTTTCTTAATGCCGATGTGTTACTGTATTGTACATGCACCCTTCTTATACCTGTGGTGCCGACACGTTCCTCAGCCTATATTTCGAATGACTTGTAAGACCGAGATCGGCTGGTATGACGTGGCTGGACGTGATGTGGGATGGTCGCCGTCACGTCCGATCCGTGCCGGCCGGCAGACAAGTTCGCGAGCCTGCTGGAGCCGATGCAGTACATGGCCGGCCTGACGCTGGCCGTACGGGACGGCGAGCTCGCCACGCAGAGCTACCGCAACCCGTTCGACATCAGCCGGCGCCACCTGCTCGACCAGCTGGTGCGCATGCGCGCCAACTTCATGCAGACCAGCGTGGGCCTCGTGCGCATGCAGGACCAGGTACGATAGCGGGCCGGCCGGCCGGGCCGCGCCGCACTCTCTTCAGGATTCGTGGACGCGGGAACTCCGAACGGCGTCGGTATTGTGGCTGGCGGTGTTGAAATCGACGGTCCAACCCGTCCGATCTTCCTGTTGTTAACTGGCAGCGGCGTGTGATGCTCATCCACCTGTTTGGTGTTGAGTGGGCGGGTTTTGGGGCTGGCATGAGGCAGCCGAGTTGCACCCTTCCCTCCATACCGTTCACTTGTTGCGCTTGGCACTGCTCCGTTTTCAAAGCTGTGCAGTGTCCGGTGCCTGGCCGCGAAGGCACTGAGGGCCGCTCGCTGTTGTGAGACCGCCGCTCTGCGACGGCCGCCAGCGAGCGCCACCGCCGGCGGCCGATCGCCCCGCCCGGCCCGGCCCCGCCTCACCGCCGACCCCAACCCCGACCCCGACCCCGACCCCGACCCCGCCTCTCCGCAGGACCAGGTGCACAACATGGCCGTCAGTCAGATGGGCAACTACCAGGACTACCTGAAGCGGCTGCCGGCGCCGCTGCGCGAGATCGAGACGGTGCCGGTGCGCCAGCACATGTTCGGAAATCCCTTCAAAATCGACAAGGTGACTGGGCGGGGACGTGAGCCCACTGGGTGGCGTGTTGTTCGAGTGCCACTCACGTACGTGCTTATGGGCCATTTTCTGCAACAAGTGGACCGATTTGTGCGATGAATTGGTTGCGATGCGTTAGTCTATCGATATGCGGTGTGTTACTCCATCCAGTCTTGGTGGAACGCGTATGGAGATAGTTGAATAGTCCACGAGGTCTGTGACTGCTACCCTCATTGAACACGTCACCTGTGTTGCATTTCTTAGCGGGGCAGGCGGTTGTTGCGCGCCGCGGACAAGGCAGATATCTCGCGATATCCCAACAGGCCTGCCACGGCGGTTCGGCTGACGGGTGTCTGGTCCGCAGCGTATGATGGTGGACGAGGCCGACATCGACCTGCTGGACAAGTCTGGCGGCGTGCGACCGGGCAAGCGGCCGGGCGAGCCGTCCGGACCGGGGCGTGGCAAGCAGCGGCGGCTGGGCCCGCCGGGCCGGGACCAGGCCGGCCTGGCGCGCCGGCCCGC